GGCAAGTGAGTCACCAAATTGCCTTAAGTGATTGTTAAAATAAGCACTTAATATAAGCAATTGTTGTACAAATGCTTATTTTAACAACCACTTAATCACCAAACATAACCTCTAACCAAACCAGACTGGATGGTAGGACCAAAAGAAAGGATAAATAAAAAAGAAAAAAATAATAGAACTGCCAGGATTGGGAATCAGCACACAAAATGACTATTTGTTGGCTCATATCTTATAAATGTGTACTTTGTTAAACATGCCTCATTTACTATGTGCTATACCTTCTAATATTTATTATTTTTATTTAAAATAGCTTTAAAAGAAAATCTAGAACCATTTTCAATTTTTAGTTTTTTAATGTTTCAATTTCTGTTTTTGAATCAATGGGATAGTTGAAGCAGGTTGTCAAACCATTCGTCCCTTGACCCACTCACCAAAATGGTTATTTATCCAGTCCAAGTCTAATAACAATTTATAACCATTAAGAAAACCTAACTGGAGAAAGGAGAGGAGAAGTGATATTTTGCTATTGACTCTGCCGAGTAAGATAAATGTCTTATACATGTAGGGCCCATTTGGTTCGTGGTAATAAGGATCTGGAATCGGAAAGGGCCATTCTGATTTCAAGTTTCCAACTGTTTGGTTGAGAAAAATCTGAATCCCATTTTCATTCCTGCTAGAATGGCATTCTCACATTTGAGGGAATGGCCATTCCCTCCTCCTCCTTTGGGAATGAAATCCCATCCCAGCTGATTCCAAATCCCATCTGATTCCTATATGAATCAAGCAGACCATAAGAATATATCATTTTTATTCTGATTCTAAAGGATTTTGATTTCCATTTTGATCCCAACTATGAGCCAAACATACCCCTAGATTTGGAATGGTAGGGGCATCTCTGAGTTTATGAAAATTTGTTGAAGTCATGCGACGTCATTCAGTTAATTCATGTGATTGGATGGAGGGATTAACTCGGTCCTACCATGGTCGGACAGAAGCATTTGATTCATTCAAGTAATTTTGAGTACAGAACTTTGGAAAGAAAATAAAATATCAAGTTCTAATGGATTACAACTTGAATCAGAGTTGGTAGGTCCATGATCCTGGTCTCAAAGGAGGAGTTCAGATTGGCTCCCCATAATTCCATATAGTGCGCCTCACACTGGGGAGATATTCTTAATGCACAGTTGGGATGTTCTGTGAGATACATGTGGTGTGTTTTTAATAAGGAGTCAATGCGCCTCAAAGAAGAAGAGATAGACATAAATCAAATAGGTTAGAAGCACTGTTTCAAAACCGGACTGGACCGGACGGTCAGACCAGAAAAACTGGGAACTGGTTTTCCTCCAAAATCACTTTTTCCCTCAAAATCATTGATTTTGTTCAACAAATCGTTGAACTGGAGTTAACCGTTCAAATGGTTTTGACCGTTTTTCAATTCTTTAATTTTTTTGTCAGAACGGACCGGTCGTTCGGATCAAACAGTCAGACCGTTCAAACCGATAACTGGACCCCTAACCGGTTTGATCACCAATTCATTTTTAAAAACCATGGTTAGAAGTTTGAGACCCGGGCTTGATGCAAGTCCGGGCTGAGTTGGGCTTGGGCAGAAAATCCAGGTGGGGGCCCAAAATTTTAGGCCCGACCAGAAACGATGACCCTACCTATATGGATAATAGGAAATCTATTTGCTTATATTTTTCATATAAAGGAACAAAAAATGTATCTGTTTCGGAAGCCAGTGCGGTGTCTTCAACAGGGCTTGATTTGAACCGTATTGATCAAAAACATGAATCACATCAATAATTATAAATCCAAATTCAGGGAGGCCATTGCACTTATTTTCTTTCTTTCTTTTTTTTTTCTTGGGAAAAGGGAGGGGATGTGCTAACAATAATGAGAATGAAGGGAGCTAGACAAATCTCATTGGATTAGATTTTTCACATAATGGTCTCGATGTGAATGTGAAGCTAAGACAAGAATAGACATTACATGCCCAAACTTTCTAAGCCCATGGGCCATGGTATTGCCAAGCTCATAGATAACCATACCACTTATGTTTGTTGCTTCTTTTTCTCTCTCTTTTTTTTTATGTTATTTTAGAATTTGCTTGAGCATCATCTCTTCTATATATATTAAGAGATTACATCTGCGCCTCATAATGCCCTACAGCACATTCCAATTTTGAATTGGTAACATCTTCGGATGATGTCTCATCATCTCCCTTACTTATCATCGAAAGATGTTCTCAATACAAGGTTAGGATGTGCTGTAGGACATTATGGGGTGCAGATCTGAATTCATATATTAAGTGTTCAACTATGATATTAGAAAAATTTATAACCAATCAAGTGATATTCATTAAGGATTTTGATTGGTCAAAGTTCTTATATCATGTTCCTTTGAATAGATTTATTTCTGATCCTGCCCTTTGTTTTTTATTAATAATTTGTGTAAGGGCATGTGTTATGCATTATTCAAGTAAATGATAAAGATACAAGTTGATGCTATATAATTGAATTTAACGTTTTTATGACTTGCGATAAAACCAAGGCAAGTATTTTATATAATGTTTTAATTGTTTTTTATTTTAAATTATTAATGGCATCCAATATTCACTATTCAACTATATTCCTAATTCAATTCTATAAAAATAAAATTAGATCCAAATCTTAATACTAAATAATCAAAATTTGATCCAAATATATCCAATTCAATCCAACGCATTTGAAACCGTAGGTGTGTGACTGCCATGATTATAGGGGTTAATTTCTATGGCTCAACAGAGTGGGAAACCTTTCAATGGGGCCAACATGGCTGAAGCCATACCACAAGAAGCACACCATATTCTGTGAAGATGTCACTGTTACGTAGGGGTTAATCGAACTGTGGCTTATTTTTGAAGTCGGATTAGTAATACCGATTTTTGAAAAATTGATAACTAAAACTGAATTGAACCTAATCGGTTAATCAATTGATCAGTTTGGTTAACTATCAGTTTTCAGTTTTATATATTTATATTATATATTAAAAATAAATATATAAAATATATTTATAATATATGAATAATATAAAATATATGATACACATAAAAAATAGGAATATATGTATACAGGTTGGTTAATCCAAATTTTCGGTTAGGTTTCATTAGTTTGATTCGGTTTTTCAAATTTTCTTGCTCACCCCTACTGTTATGTGGACAATGTAGATTCTTTGTCAAACAAAAATTTCTTTAAAGTACCATAAATTAATTGCAAGACTTTACATAAATAATTGCATCTATTGTGACATGGACTGGTCCAATTCAATCCATACTATAATGTATGACCAATTTTTTTTTTTTTTTTGATTGAATGTAAGACCAAATTGAACTATGCCTCAAAAGAACGCTTTTTGGCATCCTAGTATGGATTGGAATGAAATGAGTTCAAAGGAACCACACTACTGAACAGCCCCATATTTTCAATTAAAATACATATTATTTTAATTATTTTTTATTTTAAATTATTAATGGCATTCAATATTCGACTACAATCCTAATTTAATCCCATACATATAAGATTAGATTCAAATCTGAATATTAATGAATCAAAATTTGATCGAAGTATATCCAATCTGATCTAACCCATTTGAAACCCTACATGTCTTAATAGTCGCAATTATATGGGTTATTCAGTCCTATGGCTCAATAAATGTGAAACATTTCTATTACTAGGCCCCACCATGGGATGGTTGAAACTAGGGGTGAACAAATAGATAGACAACCCTACCCAATCTGTTATAGGGTAGAGTTTGGTTCCAAATTCTTGAAACTGACCCCCACCCAAGATGGTTCCAATGTCTAAGGGTTTACCCTACCTGAACTGACTCAACGTACTAGCCTTGGAATCAAACATGCCTTGAAATAAACCCCAAAATACTTTTGAGGGTGTGAAGATTTGAATACAAGTATTCATGGTTATAAAGGCCATGATCCCACTTGTCAATTGAGTTACTTAGGCCCCATTTAGCATCACTCCAAAGAATCATTTCCCATTATTATTATTAGGACGGAAAACATGTTTAAGACACAACCATGAAGTGTTTCTCATTCCAAATCGGATGAAAAACCGGTTCCGGAGGCAAGATTCTAAGAAGTGAAAAAAAATGCACTTCACAGAATCATGGTACTTGCATCTTGCGAATCTTGCCATGCTAATGTGAAAATGTTAAGAAAATGATAAATTTATGATTTATCATAGATATTATAGTTATTAAGAATAACTTTTGAGTCTTATTATCAATAAAAATTATTTTTTTAACATAAATTTTAGAATAGAATAATTTTTTTAAAAAATATAAAAAAAATAAAAATACTGTTCATCTCCTTTCTCCTTCAAACCACCCTGTTATACCCACCAAGATCCTTCCCTCAAAAAAGGGCAACTTTTTTTTTTTGAGGGGTGGGGGAGGACCCCACGAAGATACTTGGCTCCGCCCCTGTTATACCCAACCAGAACCCATCAACTCCTCTCCACCCACACCTAGAGAAGACACGATCAAGAAGAGGGGTAGTTTAGGTATTGCATATTGACAAATGTATGGACATTTGGTCTCGGCCTACGGATTTCACGAGTTCGCGACTCAGGTCTTGTCTCTTTGCAGTTTGCCGGCTGATCATGCCTTCTTCAAACCTTCACCAGTCACCAACTCCCAAAATTGTGGTCAACGATCATTTACATCCTCCCCATTAATCAAAGGGTTAAAATTTTTCTCATTTTTTATTCATCTCATCAAGTCAAACACGATCCAACGACTCCACCATTTCGGTCCAGTTGGACGAAGACACGATCAATTCATTTGCTTAGAGAATGATTCTAGAATTCGGGACACTTGATGGCACCAAATAAGATTGATTTATTTATATTACACACGTGATAATATATAATGGCTCATAATTGTTAGGTGACAATCCGACGGTAGATAGGCATCGGGTGTGCCGATGTGGTCCAAAGGTGAGTAGTGGGAGCTTTACGGGTTCAGCCGGTTGCCGTCGTGGTGTGGTACTGTGGTATTAACGCGGACCAAATTTTAGGGAAGCCGTCTCCCGTCTGTGCCGTCCACACGACTTTTTCAGGTCGGGATTTTGCCGGCGAAGCGAGAGAGAGGACTATTTTGCAGGAGAGTTTCTTCATTCTTATATCTTTCAGGTATCTTTTTCCCCAAATTTGTTGGTTTTTTCACTTAATCTTGTAAGAGATTGCTTTTATTTCTCTTTGTTTTGATCTTTTTTTTTTTTATTTTTTTTTCAATTATAAGATAATTGAATAAGACTTTGATTTCATGGAAAATTATGAAATATGAGCTTAGATTTTACGAAATGCTCGAGGTTTGAAAATTTTCAGGAAATTGGAGGTAATCGAGGTTGTTGTTGGCTAGATATGTTGTGTGTAAAGTAAACGCTGCGGTTTCTTGCTATCAGATTGTCGAATTTGCCTGGCTTGTGACTTTTCTTTTCTAGTTCTTCTTTTATTTAATCAATGATGTTAGTGAAATTTTCTGTGGAGAGTGAAACCTCTTTGATGAAGCTACAATATTAGGTTTCAATTGTTTTTGCTTCCTTCCAGGATTCTTCCTTAGATGCAAAATGCAGAAACGAGTCTTTCTCATAGAAGGATGGAAAACCTCTCTTATCTGAAAATATAAATTTGTAGAACGCTCAAATTAAAATTGTCTTATCCCTTGCCGTGTACCAATAGTGCATGGCTATGGAATGTTCCCTTTTCAAACCTGGTCACTGTCATGGTGGATCTACTGGAGAAAAACTGATGTCTTGTTAATGGAATCAAGTCCTTAGAAATTAGACAAGTAAACGTTATAGAAATATGTACAGGACCTTGGATGTATAAACATATTATAAGGGAAGTAAAAAGGATGGCTGTGGAATTAAGGGTAACTTTTAATCGAACTCCAAGATCTGCAAACAGTATGTATGATGCAATGGCTAGACAAGGTGTAAGCAGAAGCCAATTGTATTGGGCGTGACTTCCCAAGAGGGAAGTTTGTATGAAACAAGACAACTGATGTTAGAATTGGGTAGTATTTGCTAGCCCCATTTATGATTTAATTAATAAAAACAGATCTGTTACTGATCAAGAAACAAAAAGAAAAAAAGAAAAAAATGTAGAAATATGTACGGCTGCTGCTGGACAGTGCAGGTTCTGATTTTTTTTTTTTGGTATTTAGTACAGGTTATGATGAGACCACTAAATCTTATACCTAGGAATTTCTTATCAACAATGCAGGTACTTAGCAGCAGAAGTGGGCAGGAATTTACTTAATTAAAAAAAAAAACTCTCAGAAAAGTGCTTTCATCAGTAGTGAGCATCTGAGTAGGAAACTTTCAATTCATTACCTTCTAAAGTGATTTGGCTTGCTTGAAATTTTGAAATCAGATATAAAATTTCAAGTTGATCTAATAAATTGTCAATGACACATCAATTTTTTCTTTTTTCATGGTAAGGTTGTGAGAGTTTTTCTTGCTTCTCCCCTAGAAACCTGTGTAGTTCCTTGCACCATCAAAATTTCTTCCTAATGGTATCCACGGTGGACACAATGTTCTAGAAATGAATGCCTAACTTCTGCATCCATCACAGGCAAGATCAAGGTGTTCGTTAGATCATGAGTGATGGCATTACATTTTTTGAGGATATTGAAACACAGATATATTGTTTCCCCTCTAAAACTTGGCCACCTGAGGTCTACAAGCCCATCTTGTTTATTGATTATAGGACTGTAATGTTTTTGTCATGACTCAATCAGATATTTTCCTTCTTTTACTAGTTTTGCAGTATGGCCGGCCATTACTATTATGGAGGTACCTTCGTTAATGAATCTTTTTACTGAACGAAAAAGAAAAGGAAACTTTTTTTGATGGGTAAATATAAGGTAGATGAACTAACATAAAATATGTACAAGTACATAATGAAGAACAGTTTGCACGGCATATTTCCTTACAAAATCTACTCGATCACGAGGAAAATGAGAAGCTGAAAAATTATTTCAGCATTTTGTTATAGAGGGGTAGAATTTTGTTGTCTTCTCTGCATGTATGAACGCATAATCTTCTCTTATGATCTTTGCAATGGATATGGAACCAATGAGTAAAAGGAAGAAGATTAAGTGGTTTTCCTTGGTTTATTATTGACTTCTCCTTAAAATTAACTTTAGGCAAAGTGGTTCTTCTCCAGATAATTGAATTCCCATGCTAATGGGGATATTGGGGTATATTATTTGTGCAATGTCCTGTAATTTCATTCTTCATTTCTTTGCTACAAATCTTTGTAGCACCTTACATATCTTGTCCTTTTTAAAATTTGTTATTAAATTCCAAAGGTCCATTACCCAATGTTAGTATGTCATTAAATTTCTAGCATCTGATAAATAGTCTATTGCAATGATGTTTCTATTTAACACTTTGTTCCTTAACAGATCAAGCTGCTCCAAGAAAGGAAGTATGGATTTTTTCTTTAGAGGGACAAGCGAGGAGTCATTGCCAACTGAAAGACTCTTTGATCAACAGGATATTCAAAGATGTCCTTTCCTGAGAAACATCAATAAACCTACAAGCTTTTCCTTCTCCTCGCCTGGGAATTTCCCCATTCCTGTGAGTTTTGTCTTTTTAGCTTCCTGCTCTACATTTCTTCATAAGCCTTATCCATTTGTGTTTTCATTTCTATTTTATATTGTTAAGCTATGAAACACGTAATTTTAGTCTTATGCTTCTTCATTTTTCTCTCATTTCCAATTTGATGAAGTCATTTGCAAATTTGTGATACAAATATGTCCCTTGTTTGTTGCATCCTTTCATTAGGTACGAGGAGCCAAAGGTCCTATATTTGAAGATGGTCCCAACTTTGATATGGCATTTAGGCTTTTTCATGGGCGGGATGGGGTTGTCCCACTCTCAGGGAACTCGTATTCATATTCTGAAAATCTGAAGCCTGAGCCTGGACCCCAGTTTAATCCCTTAGCAGCCAAAGCAGCCACTATCAGTCTCTCAGCATTTGGGCCAGGAGGGCCCTTCAGCTTTGATTTCTTCTCTGATAAATGGAAAAAGCAGCAAAAAAGATCCAAGTCATCAAACAACAAGGGAAATTCTTCAGAGGTAGATGAAACTCTATTACTACTTGCAATCAATAACAATACTGCTTTGTTCTGCAAAAATTACAGATGCCAAACTAATCTTACTTCTACCCCACCTTCTGACGCAGTAATTTGTTTTCATCTTTCAGGGAGGAGATTCAGCAAAGCATGAGGCAATGAGTAATGAGTGGCTGGAGACAGGGAACTGCCCAATTGCAAAGTCATACAGAGCTGTAAGTCATGTCCTGCCGCTTGTTGCCAAGGTTTTCCAGCCCCCACCAGGTATGAAGCTTAAGTGTCCACCCGCAGTAGTTGCTGCACGAGCGGCCCTGGCTCGGACTGCTCTTGTAAAAACTCTCCGGCCACAGCCCCTACCCGAAAAGATGCTGGTGATTGCTGTCTTGGGAATGGCAGCCAATGTACCCTTGGGAATATGGAGAGAGCATACACGGAAGTTCTCACCATCCTGGTTTGTGGCAGTGCATGCTGCTGTGCCCTTCATAGCCATGCTTCGGAAGTCTGTTCTGATGCCAAAGACAGCCATGGCTATCACAATTGCAGCATCAGTTCTTGGACAGGTTATAGGCTCCAGAGCCGAGAGGATTCGTCTGAAAGTAAAAGCTGAAAGGGAAGGTTCGGAAAAACAGATGGAAAGTAATACAGGTGCAGTTGGTGAATCGATGCAGAGTCAGGATGGTGACATTAAAGTTGGACACTGTGGTGATGAGAGGATGATATGGGACCCCCTTTCCCTCAAGGCAGCTGCAGCTCGGCCCGCTTCGTCTGCAAATGTATGTTTCTAATTTACAAACCATTGTTATTTGATACGTTTATGTAATTTTCGTATGAAAGACTGATATCATGGTGTAGTGCGTTGCTGGTCAGGACACTTTAGGAAGAGAAAAACAGTAAGAGAATACGAATAAAGGATTGCCAGTTGTGGTGGTGTTATGTAGTCCTATGCATTTGTCAGCCATTTCATGGCATACGATTAAAGGGATCTTCTTCTCATTGATCCTACACAATTAACCGTAACTTCCCAGGCAGTGACGAGAAAGCAGGAAACATTCAAGATCACAGAATTCTATCCTTTTTTTCTTCCTCAGTCTTCTCTATAAAAAAAGTATCCCCTCTTGGAATCCACTCGTTTAACCTTTTGGACTTCCGAACTCTAAATTTCTTTCAAGTTTTTCTACTTGTATGCCCTTTGAAACGTGGAAGGTTTCCTTGAGATACGTGTCTCGGCCCTTCTCTTGGAAAGTAAATGATTTTGGTCTCAAATATCACCGTATTTGGAACCCTGGCCGTTTATTCAATAAATGCTGCCACATAGGCACTATTTTCAGTATTTAGCCCATTATGCTGAACCCTATATATAGAGCCTTGCAAATGTAGGCTTAATTTATATATATGCCTATCGTTGCGGGAAGTTTCATTTTAGTGCTTCCCTAATGGGTAGGCATTTATTTACTGTTTTGTTGATGGGTGCCTAGTTGTCAATAAACAGTTTTATTATTTCTTTTCTCGATTTTGCAAACAAATCAAATACAAACATTTAGTGAATAAATGGAAATTAAACCAAACACAGACTATATCTATACAGACAAGTGTGTGATAGTTTGAACATAAGCAGTCATTTCTTGGAAAAGGTGAAAAATTGCCTCCAACTCCAAGACATGGCGACTCCGGATCTCCTGCGCACGAGAACCCTGCCCACGCCTACCCACAATAAACTACCCCCTGTGAATTGGGAACATCTCCCCCTGCATAATATTATGGAGAGGATGAGATGTTCTCCATGGGTGGATGCGATTAACATGGGTAGGGTTATATTGCTAATTGTTTTTTTCAGTAGATAAACATGTTTCCAAGTTTGAATATATCCTTTTTTACCCCGAAAAGAAATCCATCAAAAGGGTTTCCAAATAGAAAAAGTGGATGGGAAGGCATATTTCCGAGTTTGAATCCATCCAAATCCAAAGGCTTTCAAATGGAAGAGTTGGACGGAAAGGCAATCATCAGTTGTCACAGAAGGTGGATTCCAAAATAAAATGGGTTGGACTATGATGAATTTGGAGCTTTAAAAATTAATATTATTGATGTATATAATATTTACTAGCAGGCCCCGTGTGATGTATGAAAAAAAGATGTTAGGGTTTATTGGACTTAAAACTTATTGTTTTATGAGACTACACAACCTAGGGGTAGAAATGACAATTTTCCCATCCTTGTCAAATACCTAGCTTCCCCAACCAGCCGAGGAGATGAAGATTGCCTTAGTGGAAATAGGGTGGGGGTGGGGTTAATAAGAATACCCAATTGCGGTTGGGGAAGGGGAGGGGGAGTGAAGTCCCACCTCGACCCTGATTTTATATATATATCAAAATATATTATTTAAAATATTATTTACATTTTAATTTTTCCTTTATTTTAAATTCGGGGATTCAGGTCCCTGATGGGGAACCCATCTTCATCGGGGACCAGGGATGCTGACTAAATTTTTTCCTGATGGGGATCAAGGTCAGAGATGGAAATTAATTTAAAACTCGAGGTTAGGACAAGGAGTATGATACCCACCCCAAATCCATTGTCCATTGCCATTACCATTAAATTTATATTTATTAATATTTTAATTACTTATTAATTTTCAGTAATTATTGATTTCAATAATTAATTTCAAAAGTTTCTAAAATTAAATTACGAAAATCAGTAATTTTCAACAAGTAATTTTAGTAATTAAATTTCCAATTTACCAAAATTACAAAAAATTGTAGTTTATGTGTTGATGTTTATTGAATAATATTTAATAATATTAGTAATTATTGAAAATATCAAAAGTATTTCACAAATTAATTTAACCAAGTTTTTGGTTTTTAGATGTTTTATTAGGCATATAATATAGATTAAAAGGTTTTAAGAGGAATTTTCGGTAACCAAGTTTATTGTTTTTTAGATGGTTATTGGGCATGTAATATAGACTAAGAGGTGTTTTACTATTTTAGGATGAATTCTGGGTGGGAGAGGTACTTTAAGAGAAATCTTAAGAGAGGGTTGGTTAAGCAATTGGGAACATGAGAGAGAGAGAGAGAGAGAGAGAGAGACTAATAATATAACTAGTGTGGGCCCATGCGATGCACGGGATGGGGCACCCTCTTTGTCCTTCGCCCCCTTAAGTCAAGATACCCTACTCTCCATCCCCACCTTGACCCCATTGGCAGGGCAGGTTCAGGGTGAGGCACCCATTCCTTGTCAGGGATGGGCAATCCCCAAATTTAAGTTCCTTATGAAATTTAATTAACTATATGATTTTTTATTTTTTAATGGAGCTTAAGTTGGTTTTAATTTAATAAAATTTAATTATAAAACTAATAATTGTTAGATAATTTTTATTAGTTTTATATTAATTTTAAATTGATATTTGTTTTTTTTTTAATTTATCTTATTCCTTTTATTATATTAATAAAAATATTTTTATCAATAACAATAATTAGTAATTATTTTTATTTTATTTAAGTAACTTACTAAATTATTTTTATTATGGTTAATTAATTTCTATTATTTTCAAATGGAATATAAATGGATCATAATTTTAAATAGAAGTAGATTATTTAGTGCAATAATATATCCTAGAATATCTCAATTTCAATATAATTAATCTTTAGTGATAATTATAGTTTAATGCAAATATATCTATTATATATATATAGTTAAATTGAAATGGATACATAGATAAAGTTAATGAATTTTATGCAATTTGATAGAGTAATGGAGATGAGAGAGCATTAGTGGCATGAGTATTTGAAGGAGAGAGTTAATGGCATAATTAATGAGGAAAGATTATTTTTTTTGATAAATAATGAGGAGAGATTATTAAAAGTGTTAGAGAGAGAGAGAGAGAGAGAGAGTGGTGTTTTAATGAGGAATGTTAAAACTCTTAAAGGTGATAGGTCACTTGAGTTATTTTGTTCAATTTTAAAATTAAAAAAATCAAAAAAAAAGGTAGGTGCCTTTGAAAGGAAACTAGAAAAGAGATAAGTGGCTTTCAGAATAAACCATAGAACATGAAAGTGCCAGTTTGGCACATTGCATTTTAATATAGATATAGATATGCATAAATAGGTAAGAACAATATCAATATTCTTTGACTCACAATATTATTGGTATCAATATTTTAAAAGGCGTGGGAGGCAGCGCCCCCAAAATGCCTTGAGGCACATGCTAGAGGGTTGATTCCTCTTGGGTGTACACCTCAGGTGCTCAACAGATCCCCTTCATCTTCTTCCTCGTCTTTTGGAGGCTTACACCTTCCTTACTTTCTGAACTCACACTTCCAGGTGGTGGAACGTGTCTCCGCATTTTAAAACATTGATTGATATTGTCCTGGTATTATTACTGTTGTTATTTCTTTCCTATTTCTCATTTTGCTTCATGGTTTTTTATTTTCTCTTGTTACTTTCTTACAGTTCTCTGCTACTAAAAAGAAAAGCAGCAGCTATTCTCTAAATCTTCTCCTAAATTCAGAGCATACTTTGTTGCCATAGATGATGAAAGAGTCTAAAAAACAGTGATAGAAGGTCTAAAGCTCCCCCTAGCTTATCTTTTATCTACCAGCCCCTACATTAGGTCTAAAGCGCGGTAATAGATCACAATTGCCAAAGATGATGAAAAAGTGAAACTTAAAGGTGGTCACACTACAAAATTCTAAGCTCCTAATGAAAGTTCCAGAACAGGCTTCCCAATCAAAGGCTTAACTAGTGTAGCTCACTCCAAGACATTATTAGCTGTGCATAGAATAGAGATCCTTTAGGGGGAGAAGACAATCTACAAAATTCTCCACATGTTCCCAAACCATTTTAGTCTACTTTCCCTCATTTTATCACCTATTGGAGCTACCCCCAAGATTCTTTCCAATAAGATCATTTCAGATCCTATCCTTGTTTTCTCATTCATCCATCTCAACATTAGCATTTATTAAACTAGTACCAAAGGTATGGAAATTAAAGATTTTCACCCTAGCAGCCTTTTCTTAAGCATATACAAGATTTGTATTAGATTTTTGACCTCACATGCGCTGCCAATGAATTAGAGAGGCTAGAGCATTTGTTGCCAAAATGAACATCTCACTCTGCTATATTAGAATATCTGCCAATGATTTAGCTGACTCACTTGCTAGGGGAGGGGTTATGTGGAGTGATTTGCATTAGCTTTCTAGCCTACTTAAGGCTAGAGTCATTTCTGATGTGTATATGGAGAAACTAACAGAACAATAAGCATAATATTTTGTTGTCTATTTTTTTTCTCTATGTACTTTCTTTTTCCTTATTTCACATATTAATACATTTATTTACTGTTGATGATAAAAGAAGGTTAAAAAGTATGTGAAGTTGCAAGGCAATAGAGGAAGATTCTTCGCATATTCACTTTACCAAGTCTGTGACCTGGCAGATGGATAATTCACCTACTTGGAAAACGATTCATAACTAACCACAGGATAATGAATTATATCATCAAAAGTTCCACAGGTTTCATATTCAAATGTGTAACCATTCTGTCTTCTATTTGCAAGCTAGCAGCCAATTTAAAATTGTAGTTATTATAAAGATGGGCAAGAAACAGCAAGGAAGCAATGATATACCTGCATTAGATGTCCTCAGTCTAGTATATCTCATCATCAGGAATATCTGGTGTCAAAAACTTTTTTGGGTCTTTGCTTATTTCTTCATAGTTCAGTCTTGATTTTGCCTTTTCTGGTACTGGCACAAGTGGAATAATGCTATCCCTATCAATAACCCCATCAATAATTCCATATTCAACGGCTTCAATTGGAGACATGTAACGATCTCTATCAATATCTTTCTGGATTTGTTCGAAAGTCCAACCGGTGAAACCAGAAATAATTCTGGTGACATTGTTCTTATTATGCATTATTTCCCGGGCTTGAATCTCCACATCTATCGCTTGCCCACTAGCACCTCCAAGAGGTTGATGAAGCATTATCCTTGTGTTAGGCATTGCAAGACGTTTTCCTTTTGTGCCACCACCTAGGATGATTGATGCCGTTGATGCTGCAATTCCAAGTGCAACGGTGGAAACATCTGCTCTCACAAGCTGCACCACGTCGTAAATAGCCATTGTTGCACTGAACATATGAAATGAAGCAGCAATAGCAAAAAGAGAAAAAGAAAAATCCTAAGAGCAATGTCAAGAAAAAAAATCTGTATATAACAAAGCATTTAAAACTTAGAAAAGTACAACTGCAAAGACATTAAAATGACACTGAACAGGGACCATCAAACAACTAAGAAAACGAAGAACTCCAAGCCATTTTCTTAGAGCTATGGTGACCCACAATGAAATGAAAGCTAAGACTCAAAAACTTTAGGTACTATAAAATTTGTATTAGAGATTATATAGCTATATTAAACACAACTTTCTTGATCAAACATCTCATCAACTTCCATTTTGTTTCAACCTGAAGGAATATTGATTACTACATTGTTGGTTATACACAAAACTCACAAAGCAATTTTTTTTTTTGATAAGACACAAAGCAAGGTATTTTCCCAATGGAACATGATAAATTCACGATACCTTGATGAAGTGAAAGCTAAGATTTGGTGTGAATAAGGTTATAATATCTGCCAATCAAAAAATATTTTTATAATAATTTAGTAACATCATCATCATCCAAGCCTTATTATCGTTAAATCATTTCTTACTACTTTAACCCATATCCTTTTTGGTTTACCCCTAGTCCCCTACCTCTTCTAGCCCCTTCAACTTGCAACAGACCACTTCTTATGGGTGCTATCACAAGTCTTCTGTGCAAGTGATTTTAGGCCTGCCTTTCCCTTTCTTTCCCTACCTTTTCCTTCAAACCAAACATAGCTTTAAGGAATTTGCAGACAATCATGTAATAAGCCATTAAGCCCTGGAATCAATGCCACTTTTTTGGCCTTGATCCCTAAGAAGATTGATGCCAACCACCCAAAAGATTTTAGGCCTATTAGTCTGGTGACAAGCATCTATAAAATTCTGGCTAAAGTGCTTTCTTTGAGGATCAAAACAGTTCTTCCTTCTACCACCGGTGAAATTCAAGAGGCTTTCTATCAAGGGTGACAAATCACAAATTAGATTCTAATTGCAAATGAGTGTGTGGAGGAAATGAAAAGGTCTAGGAAAGAGGTTTCGTTTGTAAATTGAATCTTGAAAAGGCCTATGATTTGGTGGACTAGGAGTTTTTATCAGACATGATGAGAAACTGGTGGACTGGGTGTATTAGTACCTGTAACTACTCTATTCAGGTAAATGGTGTGGTGAAGGATTTTTTTTTCCAGCTTATAGGGGTGTCAGGCAAGGGGATCCACTCTCACCCTTCCTTTTTACCTTAGTAGCTGATGTGATTAGTAGGATCATTACTAAGGCCGATAGAGAACATGCCATTAGGTGTTGGAGAATAGGGAGGCACCAAATCCCAATCACCCACCTTCAGTTTGCAAATGATCTAATGATCTTTTGTGAAGGAGGATTTAACAAGAAGGTACAAACCTAAAGGAGCTAACTAGAGGATTTGAAAGGGTTTCTAATCTGAAAATAAATTTGGAGAAGAGTTGCATAGTGGGTATAACTTGGAGGTTGGGGAGATTGAGGTTATTGTAGAGTGTCTTGAGTGTTCCATCTCTTCTTGGCCTATGTCCTACTTAGGGCTTCCTTTAGGGGAAAATCCTAGGGATTTGCTTCATGCAAGAAGAATTACATTTCTTTGGGAGGGAGAATCACCTTAATAAGAGCTACTTTAGCTAACTTACCTACTTACTTTTTGTCTGCTTTTAGGATACCACCTAAGGAAGCTAGGAAGCTGGAGAAGTTGATGAAAGACTTCTTGTGGGAGCCGGGACAAGAAAAAAGGATCATTTGGTTAAATGGAAATTTTTTTGTAGAAGTAAAGAAGAGGAGGATTTGGGACTGGGGAGGGGGTTTGAAAAAAATCAAGCTTTGTTAGGGAAATGGTTGTGGCGATGGCCATTGGAAAGTGAGAAGTTGTGGTATAAGGTGGTGGGAAGCATTCATGGGAGCTCAGAGAATGGATGGGATGCTTGTGTATCAAGGCAGGCTAACTTGACAGCACCTTGGAAGGCCATTCACAACATGCTTCCCTAATTTCTCAATTTTATCGAGTATGATATGAAGTTTGTTTTGGCAATGGTGTTCGCTTTTGGGAGGATATCTTGATAGGAGACACCCCTCTAAAGGACCTTTTCCCTTTGTTATTTTTCTTTTTGATGAATGAAAATAATTTACTAATCCAGAAATTAAGGCAATACAGGAAACACATGAAGAGGCATGAGCTGTTACCTCTTCTAACAAAGTATAAAATCAATTAAGAACCGGATAAGCAGAAATAAACAGAACTAAAATTACATAGCAGCCCAAAACAAATGATCCCTTGAAACCCCTTGCTTAGCTAGTCCATCTGCTAAGGAATTTGCTGATCTTTCCACCCAAAGAGTGGTAATTGTCATATTTCTTGTGAGCCAATTGACTTTCCTCAATAAATCTCTATATCGCCACATAGCTGAAGCTGGCTTTGTCAGCCATCCCACAACAATTTTAGAGTCTCCTTCAACTATCAAGTGTTGATCTCCTAACTGTTCAGCAATCTAGATGCCTTGTACAACCGCTAAAATCTCTGCTCTATTTGAGTCTCCTGTTCCCACAGGGCCTGAAAACAAAGCTAAAATGTTGCTCTCTCTATCTCTCAGCACCCCTCCTATCCTCAAAGGGCCTGGGTTTCCTTGGCTGCTACCATCAAAATTCAGCTTTGTCCAACCTTCAGGCGGAGGCTTCCACACTACAGCTGCCTTTTCCCTTTGTTATTTTCTATTTCTTTGTATAAAAGAGATGTGGTCTCAAAATTTGTCTCACTCTCAGGAACACCCTTGGCTCCTAATTGGGATTTTGGGTTTCGTAGGGGACTAAGGATGATGAAATTGAATCTGCCTCTGACTTGCTATGTTGCCTTAATCAAGTTTGCTTGGATCCATCCAAGCCAGATAAAAGGATGTGGGCTCCTAGACCGAAAGGGACCTTTACTTATGCTTCTTATTTCAAGTCCATCTCTCAGTCTTCTGCTCAACAACCCTTTCCATCAAAGGAAATTTGGTGTAGGCCAATTCCCCTAAAGATTGTTGTGTTTTGTTGGGACTTGGGAAGTATTCTATGGGAAAGTAAACACTCTAGATAACATCTAAAAGAGAAGACCTTTCCTCTATATTTCTCTCAACTAGTGTATCCTCTGCAGAGCTCACGGGGAGGATTGTTACCATCTACTAATATCTTGTCCATTTTCTGCAAACCTTTGGGCTTGGCTACTTACATTGTTTGGGAATAGTTGAAGCTTACTAGTAGAAGTTCACATGATCTTTGACCATTCTACTTTCTCTTGGCCTACAAAAAGAGGGAGACTTATGTGGAGATGTGCTCGTGCTGCTCTAATTTGGACTCTTTGGGAAGAAAGGAATGCTAGAATTTTTCAAGAAAAGGAAATGAGCAGTCAGGAATTGAAAGACTATGTGTTGCATAGGGCAATACTTTGGCTGAAGACTTTGGAAATCTTTCATCAATTCTCTTTTAACGACCTTTGGAGAAACATGTCAGAAGTAGCGAGTCAGAAGTCAGCAGTGCTATTAGCTGCTGTACAAGGGGTGCAATTTGCAAACCAGCTGGGGGTACAACATCTGATAATTGAAGGGGATTCCCAGGTGGTGGTGGGCTGGTTAAAAAAATCCTGAGGATGCTATATGGTGCTACAAGAACGAAATGAAGAAATTTAGTTGGTTGACAAGGAACATGTTGGCCTCTTTACAGTGGGTGGGGAAATCAGCAAATACTTTTTCCGATGTGTTAGCCAAGAAAGGGGTAAATAGGGCAGAATTGTTTTGGGCTCAGCTGTGATTCCTGTATTTTTTTCCTAGTTTCTTGTAAGCTTCTAGGAGGGGCTGAAGCTCGCACCTCTCCTTGGGATGTTGTATGAAATCACAACTCTAAATCAGTTTTTGAATTAATAAAATTTTACAATTACTCATAAAAAAATGACATTACCATCTCTTGGGTTTACCTCTAAGGAATATGCATTCACTAGTTAGTTGAGAACTTGGGATAATACATGTAGATGATTGTGTGATTTAACAAGTAGATAAAATATTGGTGTTTATTGCAAATTTTTTTATCAATAACAAAGGCAATAATATTAATAAAAAAGGATATTAAGTACAAGAAGAGAGTGAAGGGGGAAGGGATAAACTCTCTTAGCCCCTCCCCAAATGAATTACATTACAGCCCAAAATAAACTGTTCCTTCCCACCCCTTGTTTAGAAAGTGTATCAGCAAAAGCATTTGCATCTCTCTTGACCCACTTACAAGAGTTTCACAGCATTGCAACTTCATGCAACTATAGCATGTGTTAGTTTTTTTCCTCAATGTCAGAAGGTTCACAGTTTTTGTTTTTTGTTTTTTTTTGTTTTAACTCTTGGTTGCACATGATGGTTTTGTTTATAAATTTGAACTGTATATCCATTCAGATTTCCATTTGACCTTAAGGTAAGCTCAGTTTAGAAAAAATACAAATACAAATGTGTACAGTACAAATACATACAAAATAATACAAAATGCAAGGTTTTACACTCAACATATTTGTATTTGTAGTCCTTCCAAACTAAGCCTAAAGAACATGTCAATTTGCATAAATTTATGCCATCAATCAAAACAAAAAAAGAAATGCAGTCACTGAAAGTGCTGATTTTTGCTTTTTACATGTAAATCTTAGCTCCGGCCCTCTTGATCCCAAATCAATCAATGAAAATATGCAAGACACTAAAGTAATCTTGGTTTACAAACCCAAGCTATTTGATAATAGCAGAAATGGATGAACTGGATAACTTATTCCTTTGAGTAAGTTATTCAGGAGGTTGTAATCTCCGTAATGGTTGAAGTGATGCTAAAGTTGGGTTTATTATTTGACTACTTAAGCCACTAAAAATAAAGCAATAAGACATTCAGTTCAGCATTTCAGCCGTTATCAAAGGACCCCTACTTCAGATTCAGAGAGTAATGTCTGAAAAGGCTGGTTCCATGCGAACAAAATAGCATCCATCAAATATCTCAGTTCCTTTCTCACTTATTAACTGCTTCTTTAGAATCAAAAGCAAAACAAAGCCAATCTTTCATGGATTACATACATGACCATTTTTACATCAAATTATAGAGTGGTCCAATCTTTCACTAACAAGAACGAATCTTCTAACTAATAAATCCATAGGTTTATTCCTTCTCAAGTCAAACTAGAAGAAGCTAATCTTTCACGACCAAAAGGAAACCTGAGATGATACCTCAGAGATCCGCCGGGCGAATTAATGAAGAGCCGAATATCCTTGGTAGGATCTTGAGCATCCAACAGCAGCAGCTGGCTTATAATTGCATCGGCAACGAAATCATCTATGTTATTGCCTAAGAATACAATCCTCTCCTTCAGCAACAACCCCATTACATCTGACGCGGCGCCTCTCATGGCAGTCTCCTGCGTCTGAGGAGCAGTAAAAGATGGGTAGAGAGGATAAGAGGGTTCAAGCTCAAAACCCAACCCCGATGTTTCGACGTCAGTTAGAACTTTTAGGCGGGAGTTTGCCAAAGAAGATGAAGAAATGCGAGCTTGGATTGCTAAAGAAGGGGATTTACAGCGAAAGGTGCTCGTTTTATGAGATGTGGAGGAGGTATATGATAAAAGAGAAGGTGAAGGTCTCAGGAGTGTAGACATGGAAATGGAAAGGGAATTCATGGCTAGAGAGAGACAGAGAGAGAGAGAGAGAGAGAGTGAATGGATGACGCAGTGAGAGTGACAGAGGTTGAGCTGCTTTTTGCCCCGGGGGTTTAGCGGGTAGGGGTACAAGTCGGGCCGGGCTAGACCGGGTTGAGGTCAACCCTAACCCAACCCATAGTTGGGTTAGGTTGGGGCATCGACTATAAGATTTCACACGGTATTTTACATGGTTCTTTTCATACCATTCTGGTACATCTCGCTAGGGTTTTCTCAGGTTTAAGCTTTCGCCACATCACATCGGAGCATCCGCTGCTCCGCCCCCTATCAGCTCCAGTCATGGCGACCCAAATGAGCAAAAAGAGAAAGGTTAGAATGAAGCATTAGTTCTAATCCTAGTTTCAGAAAAATCCGTTCCTTTATGCGATCGATGTCCATTTGATTACAGTTTTCTCTGAATTGCCCCTCATTTATGTAGAAACTTTGGATCCTGAGGCCTTGATGCGGCCTTATTTCATCTCCGTTCTTGTATTTACTTTTCTGTCATTTTGCAGTTCGTTGCAGATGGAGTTTTCTTTGCGGAACTCAACGAGGTTCTTACGCGAGAGCTCGCTGAGGATGGGTACTCGGGCGTTGAGGTTCGTGTAACTCCAATGCGCACTGAGATCATCATTCGAGCTACTAGAACACAGAACGTTCTTGGTATTATTTTTTCTCAATTTAATTTGATGGATTTGTATCTTCAATTTTGATTTAGTTTTGTTATTTTTATGTTTTTTGATTGATATTTAAAGCATATAGTATTTATCTTTTTAATACGTTTTTGTTCATTTTTCAGGCGAGAAGGGGAGAAGAATTAGGGAGTTGACATCTGTTGTTCAGAAAAGGTTCAAGTTTCCTGAGAACAGTGTAGAACTCTATGCTGAGAAGGTCAACAATAGAGGCCTTTGTGCTATCGCTCAGGCAGAGTCCCTACGATACAAGCTACTTGGCGGTCTTGCTGTTCGAAGGTATTCCACTTCTTTTCCGTTTGATCCTTAATGGTCCTTCTGTTTGCAGTGAAAATTCATTTGCAGTAGTACAAATGCATGGGAGTGCAAATGTGAAGAGTATAAACTGTGGTTATTTTTGCTTCATATTTTATGCTGTTTTATTTGCACTCTAAACAAATGCGGCTTTGTTTCCTTTTGTTGGTTATCTAAAGTTGTATTCTACTGTACGGATTGTTTTGCACTTAATGGTTGCATACACTAACCATGGTATCTGCCTTTGTTCTGTATAACTACCATATTTGTCGTTTGATTTGTTCTTGCGTATTCTTCTTTTGTTGTTATCAAAAGAATTTAATTTTCGCATTTTTTGAGAAAAGTCCCAAACGGTAAATTGTTTTATAATTTTTCTGTCAATGTGCTACATGATTTGTGAAGCAAATCAAGAGCTTAATAAAAACAATGCATGGATAAGAGCAAGGTGGTAGTAGTAGGTGGTCAGTGGTCTATGTGCTAGGCATGGATCTGCCGATAATAAACGCAATTTGCATAAACCCCCAATTAATAATGTTTTGAAGAACCTTCTTCCTTTCTTTAATTTTCTAGTATCAAATGACCAGTATTATTTAAAGGAATGATATTCATGGACAAGATTTATACTGGGGCATGGTCCTTCCAGAGTATGGTTCCTTCGGGTGTATCATGTATGGGGGTTGACAGTGTCAGCATGTTCTAGTGTATTTTTTTCAACCCTTTCTTGGGACTTGGGAGTTTATCTGCTGTATTTATTTTGTGCTATTTTAGTAAAAAATTTTATGTAATTGTTACTACTCAAAAAAAATTTATCTGGAGTACTAAAACTTTTTGCTTCCACTCACTCGTACTTGCATTTGGCCATACTCTGCACGTGTATCATAGGCCTCTCTTAACTCCAATAGTTTGGCCATGAGCTAGGGTGCATAAAGTAAAAGCTGTTCTATCAGCAGTGGCCAGACAACCGTAGAGATGGATCCACAGGTGAATGGCTCAAATGTCACTCGTCTACTGATTTCATCTACAGTTCCAGTATTCTGTTTTCTAAACAATGACATGGTCTTATTGATGAAAATAGGGGAAACAGAAACTTTACTGAAAGAAAAAGGGCTGGGGCTTAATTACAAGAGCTATTTTGATGGATAGCTTACATACGTTGGAGTATTCTTCCCCTTAGGGATCAAACATTATGAACCCACGTGTTACAAAACTAGAAAATCACAAACCTACTTAATCCTTTAAAACAAATTCTGTCTATTTAGAGATAAATCCACAGGTGAATGGCTTGGTGCACCACTCAAGGTGCCAAGGTGAAATAGGCTATGTTTTTTTTTAACATAAAAGCCTAAATCCTATGGTAATTTCCTAGGTTTTAATGCAACCAGCCATCATCTTTCACTAATAATTACCAATAATTTTCATCAAATAAGTATAAATTTAAAACATAGAAAAACAACATATTCATTAAAAGAAGAGAAAGAAATGAATACTAAGAAAATATAGGGGCAATCCTCCCTATATTATATGGCACCTTTTTACAGAAAACAACTAAGTGCTTGGGCGAGGCAATCCTCCTTTGTGCCTTGCCTTGGTCAGGTTGATTGCCTAATATCCCATGGTCAGGTTGATCTTAGTATTTGGTTACAAAGGTACTACATAGGATATCAAATAAAGGAGTGGATGACAAGGACACTCTTTATTGTGAGAATGTGTCCAAGTGACAACATTTTTGGTTAATGAGGATGATGGTGAGAAGGCCAATGTTTAAAATGTCAATGCCGGTGGAAATATCGGTCATGCAAATATAAGAAACATGCCAGAAATGTCAGAAATATTGTAAAAATTATAGACATGGTGGAAATAGTGTAAAAATATGCAAAATGTAGAATGGTATTTTATGATCTGATAAAAGAAACATAGGCACACCTTTTTAAATTATTATCTTGTTTCAAATTATAAACAAAGCTAAGATATCAAGGTTATAGATAAAAGAATATGTTCTGAAGTTGCCCTGTAAACCTTAAGATTCAGAGCTTCATGATAGAATTAGTTAAAGCAAATCTAAACTCATAGAAAATGTAAATGGTTGTAATAGGTCAACCAATAATCTACTACAGAAACAAAAACTATTATTTAACTTCATGTTTGAAATGAATATTGAGCTAGCTCAAAGTTGTAATCATGTAAGTTAGGTGGACAATAACTTGTTAATTCACATATCTATGATATTGTCACCAACTTATGTTATAATACTCTCTTGTACTCAACATAGTACTTCTAGTGTTCACTAGGGAATATGTCGGTTCTAGTAAATTTTCATGTTGCTAGCCATGGAAGTGGAAATTCGAAATAGTCATGGATACTATCTCTTGTACTCCACGTAGGTCTAGTAGTTTTCATTGGGGAAATGTCGATTCTAAAATTTCGTGCCACTACCCATGGGAATGGAAACATGTGGAAATATTAGGGAAGTTGGGACATTTTAAACCATGGAGAAGGGTAAAAGACCTGGGTGATGAGGAGGCCTGTGGAAGAATCATAATGAAAGAAACTTATGAGCAAGGTATTGAGAAGATCAAAGCAAAGAAACTTTGCAAAAAACATAAAAATAAGTTTCTTTTTGATTATATGTAAAAGGAAAATCTTGTGGAGAAAAGAGATGGCAGGTTTTTAATAATGTGACTTATTTACAGTGGCGCATGGATACTGCATCTTTGGAGGGTCTTGCAAGTTGATGCCATTGAACTCCAAAATATGTGTTAGACTCAACTACGTGCAAATCTAGTGGATTTACCAAAATTTGCAATACATCAACTCCACAAAATTATGAATCCTCACTTATAAATGCTTTCTATGTAACTGTGATTCAACCATTTAAACTGTCCAATAGAGGACTCTAGTATTTGTATTTCCCAAATTGCATTTAATTTATTACCCATTATTTATTGGATCTTTTCCAATTAACATTGATATTAGGAAAACAATAAAAAATAACTAGAGATGCCAATTTGGGAAATAGGGCGCAAACAAAGGCTGTGAGTTTAACTTGCCAACTGTAGATTGTAGCTTCTTAACTATTAAAGTTATTATTATTTGTACAGATATATGAATTTTAAGTGTAGTATTAAAATATTATGATATACAATATATAATATATTATTATAAAAGTTATTATTACTGGTTAATTTCAGATTCTGATTCCCATGTCCAATGTCCATTCAACATTGCTTGTTTGGCTTGCTTGATTGCCTCAAATCTTAAGTGTGTTATTTTGTGGTCTAATTGATTGGGTATTTATTCTCTCATTTTAGGGCTTGCTATGGTGTCTTGCGCTTCATCATGGAAAGTGGTGCAAAGGGATGTGAGGTAAGTTCATTGGTGGCGGTAAATGTTATAATGTTCTATTGGTTTTTTCACTAATAAATTGTTGAAACTAAATGAAATCAGTGTCTTATTTAAATGCTGCTTTTGAGGTACTCCAAACCAGGGGTTGTGTCTTAACCATACAAGGCTTGAATGGGAGTTTCTTTTGTTTTTAGGTCATAGTGAGTGGGAAGCTCCGTGCACAACGTGCCAAATCAATGAAATTCAAGGATGGTTATATGATCTCTTCTGGGCAGCCAGTTAAAGAATACATAGACTCAGCCGTAAGACATGTTTTACTTAGACAGGTCAGTTGAATATAATTCTTTAGTTCCATCCATCGCAGCTCTATTCGCCCATTTTATTAGGCCAAGGCCATAAACGCAAAGATGTACATAAATTTTGTTCACTTGTTAACAAGGTGTTAGTAAGAAATGGTTCTGTGCATACGCATTGATGTCAACCTTTGGGTAATGCAATTGCAGGGAGTTCTGGGGATAAAGGTGAAGATCATGTTGGATTGGGATCCCAAGGGGAAGCAGGGCCCGACAACCCCATTGCCGGATCTCGTCACCATCCACACCCCGAAAGAGGAAGAGGAGTTCATCAAGCCTGTCGTGACCAGGGAAATTGAGGTTGCTTAATGAGTAGAGCTGTCTCTTGAGTCGAGTGTGATTCATGATTGCATAATGCGACTCAGGAATCAAGATAGATATAATTTTTTAGGAGGTTGATTTTTGGTGCATCGACTTTTATTAGATTTTCCTTCTTTTGAGTTCAAGCCAACGATTTATTCCAAAACACCAAAATTTTGTCAAGGATTATTTAGTTTACACGTTTCTGGTCCCTTTTCTTTATATTGTCAAGGATTTTTCATTTTTCAGTTCAAGCCAAGATTTTCCTTCTACGACAACTTTTGTCGTGCCGCGTGCATGACTTCTGCCTTGCCAGGCATGACATGCTAGGGCTAGAGAGGGGAGGAGGCTCGGGTCCTGTGGGCCAACACGATGAAAATTCCTAATCAGTACGCTGAACTTTTGGGGTTGTCGCAAGTCAGTCCCCAGACTTTAAAATGTGTCTTTGCAGTATTTTAAACTTTCAAAAATGTGTCTGATAGGTCCTGGCTGTTAACAGTTCGACAGTTATCTGATCACATGATGACATGGTAGTGCTGATTCTCATAGATTTGAGCACCCCAACGGCCGTTGGATTGAGGGACTACACCTTTGTATCTGAAAGCTTGGACCTTTGTTGTTGGGATCATGGGTTGTGTTGCCCACCACAACTGTTGATTAGAGTGGCTGCCCCAGTCCTTGAAGCGGTGGAGGCATCTACAACTACAACAACCTGGAGAGTCTGTAGCTATTTGGGTCCGCATTCCGCAACTACTTCAGCAGGGCCATCCATGGAATTTCGTTCTCCTCCGCTTGGAAAGTTGACAAAGTCTGTAGCTATTTGGCTCCCTTTAATTGTGAAATTGAAAGAACAAAGGAACGCCAATCAATGTTTTAAAACCTAATAAGAAAAGATATTATCTCAGCTCCCAGTCTTAATAAAACCAAAGGATAAACGACGGGGGAAGTGTTTTTTTGACGGTTGTGCTCCTATTTTTAGTCCTCCCATTCAAGTTGGAAGTGGCGACATATGCATTTCATTTTCTAAATTTCCATTTGGTATATCTGATGGCTGAACAGAACCTTTCTGATACGTTCCAAAGAAGTGGCTTCAAAGACTCCAAATCCTAAAGCAAATCAAGAATCCCGGTAATGAAGAGTCCATTTGTACACAATCTCCATGGTGATTATCCTTTCTCCAGCTACCATTAAGTGCCTCGGAGATGAGAAGACCATATGCAATCTCTCTTCATCAACCAGGCCTTTCAATGATACTCGTAAACCCACGACCCGATCCGATAATCTCGCATTTGGATGAGGTAAATATCGGATTTAATTCGGATGGCAGAAGTAGAACCCGATTATATTTATAAATATAAATATATTTTATATTATATACTTTTATACATTAATTACATAGATAAAATATTTTAGGGGTAAATGAGAAAATCTGTTACTCAAACCCCTAGTTGGCCAGCCCTAAAATCCTAAACTAAGGCTGTCAACGGGTCGGAATCAGGTAGAACCGGACCTGGATCTGATAGGAGAACTCGTGGACCCGGAACCAATCCAGACCCTATAGGGTTTGTAATTCTAGACCAAGAACCAAACTGATCGGTTCTTGGGACAATCGGGTCCAACCCGACCCAATTTTGATATGTAAGCTAATAATACCCCTACTAAAAAATGCAATAAAAACCCTGTAAAAACCTAAAATGCAACAAAAACCCTACTAAAAAGGAAACTGATAAAAAACAATAATAATTGTATCGATGTATACAGTATATATAGGGGTTGGGTGAGGTCCAAATCAGTTCGGGACAAGGCGGACCTGGTTTTGACCTGGTAATAATCGAGAATTTTTTTTAAGAACCGGAACCGACCCATCGGGACAAGTTCTGGAACCAAAACCACCCCAATCAGTCCAATTCTATTGGGTCAATCAGGTCTGACCCGACCCATTGATAGCCCTATCCTAAACCCTCACTCAACATTTCAACAATTGACATTTTCTTCTCACTCCTCTTCTCTTTTTGTCACCTAACTCGCCTTGCCATTTACCAAGTTGTTGTCGTTCTCTCCTCTCTCAACTTTCACTTTCTGCAACAACCAAGTCGTCATCGTCGTTCTTTTCTATCCATCGTCATTCTTTTCTCGCCTAGGTTTTCTTCTTGACCATAGAGCTCTCATGTATTGTTTTCTTCTTGACCATAGGTTTTTATTTGTTTTGAATAAATTATAGATTATTTCAAAATTTTTGAAATAAAAATTTAAATTTTACAAAAGACAGAATTGCTTCAAAACTTTTGAGTAAAAATTATTGATTATAGATTTTGTTTTAATGATATTACATTCAGCAATTGTGATCATTCAACTGCTGAAATAGGTAGCTTCAGTCGGAGTCGGATTAAAATCCAAAATCTAAAAAATCCCATCAGATTCAAACTCGAATTTCCTGCAAATAATCCGATCGGATTTCGGATCAAAGTCGGATGCAACCAACAACATATCGAATCGAACTCGGATTTAGATGAATTCGATACGATGACAGGCCTATCAACAACATTGTCAACATAGAATATTAAGACAACTCTAAAGAGAATGGTGCTCAAATAAGCTCATGTAGAGAATGGTACTCTAAGAACAGCACCAGCATACTAAGCCATTATGGCTCTAAGAGGTCCACATGACTGGCCCTTCCCCCACATTACAAAATATAATGTTGTTATGCCACCATTGATTATAGAAGGCATCACCTGTGTATTGGCCAGAGGCCTTCCCTTCCCAAGGCCTTTGCAATAGGAATGGCAATGGGGTGGGTTCGGGGCAAGGATCATATTCCCCGTCCCCAACCCTGATTATGAAATTAACCCCCATTCTTGTTCCCAATCCCCGTCGAGGATAAAATTTGTCCTCCATCCTTGATCCTTGATGGGGATGGATTCCCTGCGAGGACCCGAATCCTTGATTTTTTTAAATAACAGTGTTTTTTTGAAAAATAAATTTATTTAAAATAAATAAAAATTTTTAATTATAAATAATGTTTTAAATATGTTTTGATATATAGAAATAATATACTAATATACACAATTAGGGTCGGGGCGGGGCAAGGACCTCAATCCCCATCCCCGACCCCAATCAGGGATTCCTATTAATCTCCATTCCTGCCCCGCCAAAACAATCCCCATCCCCGACTCCATCGGGTCGGGGAAGTCGGGTCCCCGTCGGGGATGGGGAAAATTTCCATCTCTACTTTGCAATGCTAAAAAGAGAATGGAAGATGGAACTAGACAACTGAAGATAAAAGCCACAACTGAAGCTTCATTCTCAGATAAATAGTGGTACATGGAGTAAACTGACCATATTCTCATTAAGTCTTCAATGATGTGAATTATCTGCAATGGAGTATGCCTGAACAAATCAAAATGAGAAGTTCCCCGGTGTTCAGAGATCGGCCTTGGAGACATCATCTTTGTGATTTCTTGGATCTTTCTCCGATATCGATCTTTGGATTCTTGGACCTGTTTAAAGTTCCAAATAAAACTACGACAATTTCATCTTACTAGATTTTGGAACATTCAGATTCCTTAATTCTGTTGTTCGCCTTCTTGTGTTGTGTCTTTCCAAATCGTAACCGAAAGTCGAAGTCCCGATGGGCTTAGTATCTCTCAGAACAAAAGAGTTGAGTTAGTTTAAAGCATAGAAGTGGGAGATAATGAATAGTGCCTTCAGTCTCAAGGTAGAAGACAATGAAGATTGTATTGTCTTCTATCAAAGGGTAATTTTGATTTTTCCAAAATTTAACTGACGGACTGTTAACAAGGACCTATTAGACACATTTTGAAAGTTTGGGGTACTGCAGAGACACATTTTAAAGTTTGGGGACTGACTTGAGACAACCCCTAAACTTCAGAGTACTGATAAGAAATTTTCCCTTTTTTATGAAGTAAAGATTGAAAGAAAAAAATGATGAAAATTAAAAAAAAATATTAGACAATAAATTAAAAATAATCTTAAATTTTTAATTTATGAATTTAAATGTATAGTATCAAGGTTTTTGAACAGCCATTGATCTGGATGATCAAACCGTTTGAACTGAAAATTGGTCATAGTACCGGTTCTATTTTTACCCTGAATTGCCATTCAGGCAAAAATTATTGAAATGGTTAGAGAGTTTCTGACCCAGATAGTTGAATTGCTAAATTGTTCGAGTCGGACAATGGTTCGTGATTTAATAAAAAGTTTATTCAATTTTTTTAAAGGAAGCATTAGCAGAGAAGTGGAGTTTGAGAGACGGGGGAGATATTAAGGTGAGATCTCATATCTGAAATCACTTTGACGAGAGAGAGATCTGAAAGGGTTAGGGAAGAAATGTTGTCGTTGTCGTTTTTGTTGCTGCCGCCATTGTCATTATATCATTGCTATCGTCAATGAATATCATCTTCTTCATTTCTTTCTCAATGGACAAGCACTTTTCTCATCTCTTCAATGTAAATGTTAAATTTGTGAAACTACTTGAAGCTTTCGATTCAGATGGTTGAACCATTGACTCAGAAATTGGTGGAAACCTTGTATAAAATTGCTTGTTTACGAAATAATAAAATGAAATTAAAATAAAAATAGGCCTGGCTCGGGCTTAGATTTTGTCAAAGATCTAATGGGCTCGGCCCGAAGCCCGAAGCCCGAGTCCAATACAGTGTAAAATTGGGGCCGAAGCCCGGCCCGTGAACAGGTCTACCTATGGGTAGTACTGTCATGTGGGCTTTACCCCTCGGGCCCAACTTGGCTTAATTGTTGGGGTGCACAGCACATCATTGCAAACTGTAAGCCATGCTGGAGCAGCCCGACCCATTTTATGCCTATACTTCTATTATCTTTTATTCTTTTTTCAAAATATATGTGATAGAGATAAGGATAACGGCACTGCTATAGATAAGGCCATGCACCAAAGAGTTGTCAAGAATCCAAACACTCTGTTATCCTAATCACTTCTCTTCTTTATCTTGTACATAGTTTATTTCATCCTGTATTCTATTGACAGTAAATAACTTACAGTTGTACACATGTAACTCAAATATAAATACTCAAAAGACTCAACTAGAGTCATCGATTTTTATTCTTCCCTCAACCTGTTTTGTTCATGGTATTAGATCCATCTACGGCCATGAATTCCTCTGCTACCTCTCAAACTTTAACACCACTATTGCTAATCTCAGTCTCCCAACAATAGTTGCACACCTAATCTCTGTTAAGTTATACCGTACAAACTATCTTTCTGTGACAGTCACTGTTCACTGCAACATTGAAGGGATTTAAGGCTCTCGGGTATGTTGATGGGAAAACCAAAGCACCAACCAAGTTTCTCAGCTCAACTGGATCCTGTGACTCAACTGATCTAAATCTAGAATACATACTCTAGGAGCAACAAGACCAACTGATTCTAAGTTGGATTTTATCATCTCTCACTGAGGGCGTACTTGCTCAAGTTATTGGCCATACCACCGCTAGAGGCGTATGGGAAGCTTTATCGAGGCTCTCACTCTAGGGCTCGCATTATGCAACTCAGATTTGAACTCATGCATCTCTAGAAAGGAACTGCAAGCATGGCAGATTATCTTCAGAAAGCCAAGATACTCTCTGACAACTTGGTGGCTATTGGTGAGTTCATTATAGATTCAGAATTGATTCAATATGTTTTAGGAGGATTGGGTCCAGATTATGAATCTCTTGTAACCAGTCTTGTTCTAAGACTTGAAGACTACACATGTGATGAAATTCAAGCTCTTCTCTCTAATCATGAACTTCGAATGGAGCAATCAAAGCTTCTCTTTGATGTTGCACCATTTGCAAATTTTGCTTCTCGATCTACTCTTTATAGGTCTCCTACTCCTAAAACTGATGCTGGCAAGAACAAGAACAAAACTAATAGAGAACATAAGTCGAATCCCTACCAAGGAGTCAAGTGTCAAATTTGTCTCAAACCAAATCATAAGGCAACTATGCTGGTGGTAATGGCTCAGCCTACACTGCAAGCACTACATCATTCATTGACAACAGTTGATACCCTGACTTAGGTGCCAGCCATCACATAACATCTAACCTTGAGAACCTATCTCTTCACTCTGAATATGATGGTCCCAATTAGATTAAGATTGGTAATGGAGAAGGTTTGGGCATTAAAGACATTGGTTCTTCTACATTCTTTTCGTTCTCTAGAAAATTTGCTCTTCATAATATCTTACATATCCCTGAAATCGGTAAAAATCTATTATTTGTTGCCAAGTTTGCAAGGGATAATAATTGCTACTTTGAATTCTATCCCTTTGGCTTTATTGTGAAGGATCTACAGACAAAGAACATACTTCTAAAAGGACCAGTTGAGGAAGGAACCTATAAATTGCAAGTTCATTCCAAGGGAATAGTAAATGATAATAGCTTTGGTTCAACATTTTTAGGTGAACGAACTTCAGCAAATAATTGGCATGCTCGGCTCGGGTATCCTGCAACACCAATCGTTAGATACATCATGCACAGATTTCAACTTCCAGTCTCTTCTTGTCATTTTGATTTTTGTTCATCTTGTCCACTTGGAAAGGCACATAAGTTACCTTTTGTTTCTACTAGGAGCACATATTCTGCTCCACTGGACTTAATCTATTCAGACTTACGGGGACCTGCCCCAACTTCTTCAGTACATGGATATAAATATTATATTGTTTTTATTGATGCATTTAGTCGTTTTCAATGGATCTTTCCTCTCTATAAGAAATCTGATGCCTTGAATGCCTTCCTGCTATTTAAAGCAAAAGTGGAGAATTTGTTTAACACTACCATCAAACAATTTCAATCTGATGGTGGGGGAGAATTCAAAGTATTTAAGCCTCTCCTTGATAAGTACGGTATCATTCAACGCGTGTCATGCCCACACACACAGGAGCAAAATGGTTTTGCAGAACATAGACATCATCAAATTGTTGAGACTGGTCTAACATTACTTGCTCATGCCTCAGTACCTACTAAGTACTGGTGAGAAGCTTCCCACTTAGTTGTGTCTCTTGCTAATCGCTTGCCTACCAAGCTTCTTCAGATGAAAAGTCCGATGAAATTTCTGTTTGGGATTACACCAAATTACAAAGAATTAAAAACATTTGGGTGTGAATGTTTTCCTTTAGTTCGACCATACAATGGTCACAAGCTTCAATACCGCTTTGTAAGTTGTGTTTTTCTGGGTTATTATGATTCCTATCGTAGCTATAAATGTCCTAATCTTGCTTCAGGTCAAACTTATATTTCTCGCCACGTCACATTCAATGAAAGTTCCTTTCCATTCACAGTGAATAATGTGTGTAAAGACAATGTAATGGTATAACAGTCAACTCCTACTTCAAGCTATATTAGACCACCACCCACTATGGTTCCCATTCCAGTTATAAATTCAACTGGATCCACTCAACTGTTGATGCATCAAATCGTATAGTTGAATCTAAACCCGTCACAGATCAGCATAACTCTCCTCCAGTGCAGCTCATTCCAAAGAACACTTCTAATGATGCTTCTCCTACAGCGCATCCCTCACCAGTATCTGTTTCCAGTGCTTCCACACCTCCAACAATAGTTGTCACTCCCTCCACACTTAATGTCCATCCAATGGTAGACAAAAGCAAAGCAAGAATCTTTAAGCCAAAGACCTATACTACCTCCACTTCCCACCCTCTTCCCATGGATGCAGAACCGAGTTGCTTCCGCAAGGCTCTACAAGATCCCAAATGGAAGGCAGCTATGCAAGATGAATTTGAGGCATTGCAATGTAACAATACTTGGGTTTTAGTTTCCCGACAATCTCATATGAACATAGTTGGTTGCAAATGCGTATTTCGTCTCAAGTACAATCCCGATGGCTCCATCGCAAGGCACAAGGCGCGTCTTGTTGGTTGTTGCCAAAGGATACAATCAACGTGAAAGACTTGACTATGAAGAAACATTCAGCCCAGTGGTTAAACCTACCACTATCCAAGTTATTCTCTTCCTTGCTTTCTCTAAGGGTTGGTGTATCCGTCAACTAGATGTCCAAAATGCATTTCTGCATGGGTCTCTTGAAGAGGATGTGTTTATGTTTCAACCACCCGGCTTCATTGACTCCACCCACCCTACCCATGTTTGTCATCTCAAGAAGTCACTCTATGGCTTAAAGCAAGCACCACGTGCATGGTACTCCAAGTTATATGGTTTCCTCCTTGAAAATGGCTTTATGGCTTCAAAGTCTGATTCATCTCTCTTTATTTTTCTGCAAGGGAATATCATGCTCTATGCTCTCGTCTATGTAGATGACATCATCCTCACAAGCTCCCAGCCATCTTTGTTAGATGATCTTGTTCTAAAAATGAGCTCTACATTTGCTGTCAAAGATTTGGGGCCTCTTCATTTCTTCCTTGGCCTAGAGGTGTGTCACACTCCCAAGGGCATGCTTCTCTCTCAAAGAAAGTACACAGTTGATCTTCTTCAACGTGCTGGTATGATTGATGCTAAACTAACCTCTACACCCATGGTATCATCAAGTAAACTCAGCAAGCTTGACGGTCACACTCTCTCTGATCCCTCTCTCTACCAAAGCGTTGTAGGAGCACTACAGTAGCTTACCTTTACTAGGCCTAATATAGCTTTTGCAGTAAATAAAATGTGCTAATTTCTTCACTCTCCAACTGATGTTCATGGGCAACTGTGAAGCACATACTGCACTATCTCAAAGGCACTCCATTCCTCTTCCTTGCGTCTGCATGCATTTTCTGATGCAGATAGGGTTGAATGCCCTAATGATCATCGACGTTTGCAGGGTGGCTTTTGTATATATATGGGACCAAACTTGATCTCCTGGTCATCTCGCAAGCAATCTACTGTATGACGATCTAGCATCAAATTTGAGTATATGAGCCTTGCATTAGCTACCTCTGAACTAAGATTTTCATTTCGTACGAGAACAAGTGACTCAGAAGCTTCTTGAAGTCAAGTTTATCTCCTTAAGTGATCAAAATGCTGACATCCTAACCAAGCTCTTGGTCTTACTCCTTTTTTTGCTCTTCAGTCCAAGTTAACTATATTACCCCCAGTCAACTTGCAGGGGGATGATAGAGATAAGGATAATGGCACTGCTACAGATAAGGCTGTGCACCAAAGAGTCATCAAGAATCCAAACACTAACCGCTTTTCTTCCATATCTTGTACATAGTTTATTTCATCCTGTATTCTATTGACAGTAAATCTGATGATATAAAAATATAGAAATAGATACAAAGAATGAAAGCAAAAATAAATAAATAAATAAAATTCACATGATTCAACTAATAAGTCCACAAAGATGATAATAATAATATGGTAATAATGCCAAGAGTGTAGGAAACTAGGAATCATCGAATCACGAATCATCCCGAAAACAAAAAAGAAGCTTCATTCTCAATAATGCCACTCTCTGCAGAGCGTATTCTTTTCAAGAGAGTACCCTCCCCGATAATAGATGCTTTTCGTTTTTTTTTTTTTTTTCTTGTTCTTATAAAATTTGTTCCTACTTCTTAAAACCTAAAACCCAAAATCCCAATAGAAAGACAGTTTTTTTTTTTTTTTTTCTTTTCTTTGCTTTGGTTACATTAAAGATTTGGAGTTTCATTTTCAAAACCAAAAACAAAGACAACCCCCTAAATACATGTACCTGAGTTGTAAGCCACACTACATCAGTAATCAGTTAGTACATGCTTTGTGGATTTTACACATTTTGCCAACGTATAGAAAGAAAGAAATGGCAAAATTTGTTTGAGTACGTAAGGAAAGAAATGTCAAAAGTTCTCACAGATGGAGATTAATATTGAGATGAGGGAAGAGTTTTTAATCATTCTAGTGAAGAGACATTAGAGATATTCTAATCTAAGGCATCATAGTGGACACGGTAATTAGAGACTATGGCTATGCTTAGATTCTACTTGACTCTGACGAGATTAAGATGTTAAACTTCAGCCTTATCATTTAATAAATCTATTACAAATCATGGTTTTTAAAGCCGATCCGGAGACCAAACCGGTCAGGGGCCCGGTTACCGGGTCGAACGGTCCAACCATTTGAACCGAACAGTTGGTCCATTCTGACAAAAAAATCAACGGTTTTTGAAAAAAATCCGGTTTTGGGGAAAACCGAAATCAGTCACCTAACCTGTTCCCAGTTTTTCAGGTCCGACCGTCCGATCCGGTCCTGCTTTGAAAACCATGTTTCAAATCCCTAGGGCTCTATCTACCTGCATTAAAATGAAGGAAAATAAATGATTTCCTGAAAAATTGAAGTTGCTATTTTACAAAGTCTGTTTGCATGTAAAATGGCTGTGGAAAACATTTCTTAGAAAGGAAGTACTAGCTATAGCCATTTAGGAAATTGACTTGTAGTTTTCTCAAATCATTTTCCAAACAGAGATTGATCTCTTGATTCATATCTTGCAGTAATTGTATATTTCTCAAATACAAGGAATATGATTCATTTTACTATGGAAAATTGATTTCCCAAGGAGAACATTCATTCTATGCGCAACCAAACACAGCCTAAAAAGGTAAAATGAAGAATTCGTTTGTTGGATGAGATTCTATAAAAAAGAAGAATATATTATGATAATCACCAAAAACACTAGGCCCAAGTTAACACAAGCTGATCATTTCCTGTAACAATTTCTTTTCTTATACAACTTCTCTTTAACAGTTGCTAATTGTCCTCAAACATGTTATCAAAATAACATACAATGAACAGCTTCAGAAACCTGTCAAAACAGAAATTGCTTCAGAAACTTTCTGAAACAGCAGTAAAAATCTTTTACTCTATAGTCCTTGCTCACTGGTTCTCTTCTTCCGTGTCATCTGTGGCCAAAAGATGATTAAGTGCAATTCTTGGCTTTTTCGTTTTTGATGCATTTTCTTCAATCTCAGCTTCTTCAGAGTTTCGTGCCTCCTTTTTGTCCTTGCTGTCTTCGTTGTCATGCTTAGCTTTAGCTTCACTGTCAGAACCTACCACCTCATCTTTTATTGATCCCTTCGAGGTAGATTGTTCAGCTTTCCCTTTTTCTGTCAGATCCTTACCTTTCTTTGACAATTCTTCACATTCTGCCAGAAATAAGCGTATTTCCTCTGTGTTTGCAAGATCAATAGGGGTTTTCCCTGCTTTTGTCTTAGCACTCAGACTCGCACCTTTCCTTGCCAAATATTTGACAAGTTCCATGTGGGATCCCTGAACTGCATAATGAAGGGGTGTCAGACCCTTGCGGTTGGAAGCTTTGATAGAAACCCCTGATGAGAGAAGCACTCGGACCACTTCCAGATGACCCTTTTGAGCAGCAAAGTGAATTGCACCCATGTCATCCATGGCTGCAGCACCAACATCAGCCTTGTGCTTGCAGAGATAACTCACCACCTCTGTCTGCCCAGACCATGCAGCTAAATGCAGTCTTGGATAGAAATCACCATTGTCAAGGAAACAATAATGACAAAAAGGAAGTTCTAGGTCAGTACTATCACAAATATCCATCTAACGATCTAAGAGTGTATTGAAAACAAATGAGTTTCAAATTTCCTTGATTCTTTCCTCTCTGCCATTCATCCAAGGCTCCAATCCCATTCAAGGGACACGGGTGTGGGGGATATTATCATGACCATTCTACTGGTCAAATGACAAGTAGTGTGAAAAGGAATTCTTTCTGTCTGCTGAGGAGTGCTTTAGCTATGAAGATTGCATCTATTATCAATAAATTCAATGCAGAGTTTTGAAAACCAACAATGGAGGCAACACTACATTTAGAGTTTTAAATCACCACCAATCTTCAATATAAATTCAGATGATCGATATTTAATTATTTATGTTAACCTAGTTCTTTCTCTTACCATCCTTTCTTTCTGGTTGTTTTTCTCTTTTCATCCCTTCCTTTTGTCTTTAATAATTATTTATACATACAATGAAGAAAACTGAGATTGCCTGTTGGTTTCTACCATGCCACCCACCTATTTGTCTAGGTTACCATGTAAAAAGAAATGCTTAATTTGTTGAAATCTGTCATGTCTACTGGTCAAATTCAGAAACCCTGATAAGCATGCCCCACATTGAATTTTTTCAAGGTCACACCATATCCATGTTTCTAACTGCAACACTTGCATCAAAACCATTCTTTTTTTTATCAGAAATGGTAACTTCATTAAAGATAATTGCATCAAAACCATTCTAAATAGCTGGATTAACCATGGTTGTCATATGTAGGATTAGGATGGCTTTTAATCCAAGGGCCTGTTTGTTTCCTCTTAACTCTTATCTCTTAACAGGAATCTTTTAAATTTAAGAGAAAAATGGTTGTTCGTTTCCTCTTATCTCTTATCTCTTAAAGTGCAATCATACAAATTTTTGTTTTCCAATGATACCCTCAAAAAGACAAACAAAAACTCTAATATATGGGGTCAAAATAGATATTTGATAATTTTCAGAATTCAGAATTCAGAGTTCAGAACAACATTCTTTACATTCAGAGTTCAGAGGAAAGAAAAGTTTACCAATACCAATATACCTCTTAATGTAATTATTGCACTTTCAGATGTCAGATTTCAGAGCAAACGAACAGGCCCCAAGTTCCTTGGATAGTAGATTAAACTAACTTACTTTAGAATATAGAACAGCTTACTTCTATCTCCAAGTTAGGTAGTTTACCTAACTTTGATAAGCTATAGGTGACTCTTGGCTAAAGATAGAAAGTCAATTGGTGAATTTTTTATAAAGCTTTGTTTATTCTGATGTCAGTTAATTCTGGTTTACAACTTAGCCATGCACTATTTTTTATTTAAATTATCAGCATGAGAAATTAATATGTACTTTTATTGATAAATAAATAAATTAATATGTACTATCATATGTTAAGGTCAAATTATCACTGAACTTCTAGTTATTTCAGTTACAGTTTTCTAATTGTTAAAGGGGTCATTACTAGGTGTAATGGTAACATCTCAGGCTGACAAGGCAAGGTGCCAACCAGCTGGTTGGTAAGGTCTCCTACTGGTCGTAGCAGAGACTTGGGATCAAATCCCGCCTGCACCTGGGTTAGGGGATGAGCTACCCCACATTGTGTAATGGCCTTTTTTCTCTAAATGTTGAACTGATGTTTTTTTGCTCAATAATTTTCAGATTGTCTCACTTAGCAATAGATTGAGTTTAGGAAGACACTTATGGATATGCTTTGGTAGGAAAGACAGATAGTTCTGATAGAATATGATGGAAATGACACTGGTCAGCAGATTGTTAAGATGATGAACTATGAAAAGTTGTTACTAGATTAAACTTAAAAAAAAATGGTTTTGATGCAAGGTATCAATGATAAAAAACATGGATACAAGGTTATCATAAATGGTGACCTTTTCAAAATGGGGCATGCTTATCAGGGTTTCTGAATTTGTCCAGTAGACATGACAGCTTTCTACAAATTAAGCATTTCTATTTACATGGTAACTTAGACAAATAGGTAGATGGCATGGTAGAAACCAACAGGCGATCTCAGTTTTGTTCATTGTATGTATAAATAATTATTACTAGATTAAGCACTAAACCATCTAAGGCTGGGTAGAGCAGAGTAAGAATTAAGTAAAAAGGTTGAGAAAAATATGCTTCTTTTTCTTTCTTGATAGGTAAAGATGATACAGAAAACCTATTGTATCAGCATAATCTAAAGAATCTCTCCTTGAGAACAAGGCCATGGGTAATCCAACATTGGTAACCGTGTGCATATCCTTTATACATACTGTGTATATCTCATTAAATTTGGTCTACCTGTGATATGTGTAACCATGATACAACTACATATGTATATTTCTCAAGTTTAGATGGAATGTTTATAGCATGCTATAATGTAGTGCATTTTTCTATATGTCCTAACCTAATGCCAAGAGACATCTACTCCTAATGAAAATGAATGACAATTACTTCAATCTTCTACAATGCGCAGATTAAGCAGATTGACAGTGAAAATTCCTTCCATAATGCCTTGATAAAATTTTCCATTACTAACCTAAGTCCAGAGTTTCAATTTTAGCAGTATTAAATCATTTAGAACAGGAAAACTTGTTGGGATTTCAAAATAATAAAAGAGAATTAGTTTGAGATTCATATTAGGGAAAACATCAAATTCTTCAAAGTAATCATACAATAGATATGGTCACACATTCATGTCCCAAAACATTTAGATAGAAAATAGGTAGCACTAGCTACCAGCCCTATGGGACACAGTGAATTACTGCAAGCTTAGAGAGCAGTACCAGCCATCAGTATGAATGGCTTAGATAGAAAATAGGTAGCATTAGAGCTTTCCTTTATAATGAAGAAACATGGCACCGAACAAGTATGAATGGTTTAAACATAAGACAATTGATCATTCAAAACCCAAGAAGTGAACTACGGGCATGAGTAATAAACGAATTAATATTCTACAAAGAATCAAACATACTTTCAACAAAAAAAAAAAAACTCTGTAGAGGTTTCCTGTAGGACACAGCTGCAACTTCGTTGTGACCTAGAAACTGACATCAAAAAACAATAACAACTACAAGCAACAATTCTTTTCCAGAATGGTGACCCTGACGTCAACCTCAAGAAAACAAGAAATAATCGACTGAACTCAAATGAAATCCAATCTTGAATTTCAGGCAGTTGAGTAAATGACGGAAAGAAGCCAATCCTTCAACTTGGGCAGAAAACCAGAAAAACCTAGGTGCCAATTTTTCTAGAAATAACAGATATTATCATTTTAACTAAAGCAGAGTCACCACAAAAAGCCAAGCAATCCAACGTAGGCTCCAACCCAGAAAACGAAAGAAAAAAGAAAAATAAAAAATGCGAGATTCTCCGGAGAGATGAAACTCCAGATGCATAGAAGTAAGGATACGGAATTCTCGAATGCTTATCTCTTGAATTGATGGCTAAAGGGTTAGAACTGCAGATGGATTGAACGGCGTGCAGGTCTCCGGATCTTGCGGCGGTATGAAGATCTTCACCTGAATTTGAATCCTTCCGAGGATTTCCCATTCTTCCCGGCTCGGACTACAGTCTACAGAGACTCGAGGAAACAAAGCCCTCTATTTGTCCACTGCTTTGGCAACGGTAGGGTTTAGTTTTCGTTTAGGCCAGGCCGATTAGATTTAGATCAGCCAAGACAAAACATCTGGTACTGGTAGGGAATAGCAATGGATGGTTCGGATCAGTCATCAATCTCTAGTTGGACGGTTCAGATTCCATGGCTCTTAGAGTATATAGCTCATCTACAATCAATGCTTGCTTCTTCACTTCTGTTCCCGCCAAAACATAAGAACGAAACTGCAACGGCGATCAACGTATTAAACCGGCGTATCAGAGAACTAGGGTTTCGTGTTGTCAACCGTTAAAAATGGCTGTGTACAAATGGATCCCGTCCAAAGGAGGTCTTATGTTTCTGTATAATTCTTTTTGTTTATAATTATATGTTGCAATGGAAGATCCCTAGTCCTTCTGTTTCTGTATAATCATTTTATTTTGTATTCTTTATTCCATTTTTTTTATCTTTGCAATTTTTTTAGGAGTAGTGAATCGTAGGTGGAGGTGTTGGTAAATATAATCCAAAAAATTAATAAAATTTCAGGATATGAAATCAGAGGACTCAGAGCAATCATAAATGTAAGTAAGTGTTTGGCATCCGTGCTGGGAACACCATACCGTGAAAACGATGTTTATTTTTTGTTTACAACTGGCGCTGATATATAAGCATTTTCTGAAAAAAACAATATCAGTTTTGTTCGGTATCAATATTGGCAACAACGTTTTTAATATTAATCTATATTATCCAACATCTAAGATGATGTCACATCATTGTATTGTTGGCATCAATGTATTGTTTTTTTAGAAAACATTGAATTCGGCACTACTCCAAACCATACTTTTCCGATTTTCCAAGGCATGGTTTGGAGCAATTTTTTTTCTAAAAAAATCATACCAAACAAGAGGGTATCCAAGTTGAATAGCCCGATTTGGAAAATTTTCAAAGTAAAGGATATTGAGGGGAAGGGAGAAAGGGCAATTTGCCAAAATGTAAGAAAGATTTTAGTTATTGTAGCAAGGGTGGTACGGGTCATTTGAATAGACATATGTTCACACATGAGAAGGAAGAAGATGAAGGGAGAGAAACAACTCAAACATAAATTGGGAAGGGGAGTAGTTTTGGTACTTTTAAATATTCACAAGAAAAAATGAGACAAGAATTAGCTAAGTATATTGTACATGAAGAACAATCATTTATATTAGCTGGAGATCCAAAGCTTGAAAAATGGTTGCGTAATTTTGTAAACACATAATATAAAAAAGTTTCTAGGAATACTATTAGGTCGGATGCTTTAAAATTTTTTTATTCATATAAACAAAATTCAATTTCTTTGTTATCAAATCTTAATTCTAAAGTTGCAATTACTTTAGATGTTTGGACATCTAAATTTAATATAAGTTATATTTGTGTTACCGGTCATTTCATTGTTGAAAATTGGTTTTTGAATAAAAGAATTTTATGTTTTACTAGGCTTGAATGGCCACATACTGACTCAGCTATTGCTACAAGTATTTTAAATACTTTGCATGCTTATGGAAAGTATTTTAAATACTTTGCATGCTACAATTATTTTCTATTAGCTTTGATAATGCCAGCAATAATGGTTCAGTAATAAATATTTTAAAATCTCAATTAAGACCATGTTTAGATGGTAAATTATTTCATATTAGACGGTGCATATCACATCTTAAATTTATGTATTCAAGATGCCTTGAATATTATTTCTACTCATATTTCTACAATTAGAATTTATATTATATACATTAAAAGTTCAAGAGCAATAAAACAAGAATTTAAATATTTATGTCAAAATTAAGGTTTAAAATATAAACATTTTATATTAGATGTAAAACATGGGTGGAATTCTACCTATGCTATTTTAGAAAGTTGTATTTCTCATAAACAAATTCTTACTGATTTTTATACTTCAAAAATGCCTAATGATATGATATTTGAGGAAGACTGGGAAATGGCAGTTTATATAAAAGATTTTTTAAAACATTTTTATGATGCAACTAATGAATTATGAGGAATTTATTACCGAACTAGTTATAATTTACCTTATCAAAATGGTAGTTAGTGATTGTTTTGCAAAATATAGAAATAATCCACAATTTCAATGTATTGTTGAAATAATGGAAAATAAATTTAAAAAATATTGAGAGAACATTTCTCCCCTTTATTGTTTATCTACAATATTAGACCTTAGGATTAGGAAAGATGGTTTAGATATTTTACTTGAATTATATTGTGAAAATATGAGTATTGATATAGGAAATAAAAATGAAGAAATTAATAATTTGTTATTTGAGATGTACATTTTATATGAATCTGAAATTGTAGGCTACTTCTGACCTTGAGCCCAATAGTAGAAGAGAAAAACTTTTTTATTTAATAAGTAGAAGGCAGAAATCTACTACTTTTACAACAAGTTCATTTACTGAACTTAATTTTTATTTACAAGAAAATTTTTCTAATTTAGGTGAAGGATCAAATAATTTTCATATTTTAGCCTGGTGGAGTGAACATTTGAAAAATTATCCAGTTCTCGCCGCTATGACACGTGATCTACTAACCCCTCCGATGTCTACAATTCTATCGGAGTTTTGTTTTAGTGCAGGTACCAGGGTGTCGAACGATGAAAGCATAGAGATGTGCATCTGCTTCAAGGATTGGCTAGATGCAGAAGATAAATTACAAGACAAAGGAGGGCACGATACTACACTAAATATTTCACTTGAAGCAGATGACGAAAGTCATGATTCATGAAGTTGACCAGTTGTATAGAATTTTTTATTTTTTTCAAATTTGTAATTTTTTTTAATTTTATTTAATTTATTTGTTATTTTTTATTTTTTAACAATGTAATTTTGTATTTTCACTATATTTTATTAATTTATTTCATTTTCATATTTCATTCATCCGAGTATCTAATGATCCAATCATTGTATTTGTAATTTGTATCATTCAAATTTAAATGAAATAAAATTCCTATTTTTCTTCCAATTCGTTATTCCATCATTCTTATTTCAATTTGGTTAAGTATTTTTTTTCCATTTATGTTTTAGATAACTTAGATTTCTCATTTCTTAATTTTTTAAATTGTTCCCAATGCCAAAGTTCAAAGGAAAGTTAAATATCTTAGTTTTACACTTTTACTTAGAAAATAAATCAAAATAAAAAAAAAACAAAAAAAGTAAAAAAAAAAAACAATCTAGCCCGGTTCGGCCAAGGCCCAAGGCCTGCCCTGTGGCCTAGACCGGCACGGCCCAAGCCCATGGCACAACCTGCAGCCCGGCCCGGCCCAGGTCCGTAACACAACACGGGCCTAGGTCGTGAGCCATGTCAAACTGACCCCCAAAATTTCCATTGGGGAGGGCGGCACAGCCTACCTTTTACATGAGCCACCCACGGGCCATGCCGGACCAACACGGCATGGCCCACTTTACACCTCTAACAAGATTTGTATAAGTTTCTCTACATTTCCTTTCTTTTTCCTATTTTTTCCTTCAAACCAAACACAACCTGAATGTGTTCTACTCGTTTGTGGCTCTCTCTCCAACACACCATAGAGTGGAGGAATATCTAAAAAGTAAAAGAACTGCTATTACTACTTTACACTCTTCCTCTGTTATTTTGTCTTGTTTTGGGCCACCAATTGGTAGTAGTAGAGGGACCTTGGTGGCGGATTAGGGCAACCAATTGGTATCTGGTACTTGGCTTAATCATCCATATTCCAACGTAGTTATATCATAGGGTGTTCATCAAAAACCGAAGTATTGAAAAATGGAATAAAAAATTTTTGTTTAATCGAATCGATTGACTCAATTTAAATTTAGTATTTTTGAAAAACCAAAGACCGGTTTGATATTCAATATTTTCAAAAGTCGCAGATGACCTCAGGACAGCTCAAAGGATTAATCTGCCCCGAGGTCACCTGCCACTTTTGATCTTCATCGCGTATATAATTATTTATTTATAATATATAATATATTTATTTAAAACATATATTATTAATATAAAAAACTAAAAGCCGAAGAATCAAAACTGTCCAACCGGCTAACTAGTGACAAGGTTTAAAATATTGATACACTCGATACGTCAGTAGAGGTGTATCGGGCAAATTGATACACATTTTGGTCCTGTTTTTTTTTTTTTTACTTTTTTGGCAACTGGTTCAGAGAGGTTAGTTTAGGTCTCCTCTATCCCCTGAATCGGTTAGACCTCCGATACACCCACTGTAGGGGCGTATCGAAGGGGTCCTAAAATGATACGTATCGGCCGATATGTATTGATACTTTGAACCTTGACTAGTGGTACAAATTTTCTAAAATATTATAAGACAAAATTGTCCATTTTAATAATAATATTTTATAGATAAAAATGGTCAATTGTTTAATTTACTTAAAAAACAACTTTGATCAAAACAACACAAGTAATGCACTTACATAAATGACTTGCCAAAATTTATAAATAGAACCTAATTTTCATCTAACAAATGCATTATGTAATCAGTATGCCCTTAACTAACTAATTGGTCTGATATTTCATTAACATGTTGATAATAGTATTTTGAGATAAATGGAGATTTTAGAGAACTGGTTATTGTGTTGGCTTCAATTACTCCACTTGCTTACTTGGACTGAGACCACACCATTAAGCACTTATTGGTGTTTGGGAAATAAGCCTGAAATAAATACTTATTTTAAGTGCTCATACAATAAGCACTTGTTCAATTTCTTTTTTCTCTTAGAAGTGTCCCCATTAAATTTTTAGAATACCAATTATACCCTTTCAATATTGTTACTTTTAGGAAAATAAAGTACTTTTATGAAAGTACTTTTATGAAAACACTCTTATGAAAGTACTTTTACGAAAGCACTTTTATGAAAGCATTTTTATTTACAGAAATACTTTTATAAGAGCACTTTTACGAAAGTACTTTTATAAAATTACTTTTACAAAAGCACTTTCATAGAAGTACTTTTACAAAAGCGCTATTATAAAAACACTTAAGAAAAGTACTTTGTTATTAAAATACTTTTATGAAAAAACTTTTACGAAAGTACATTTATACAATCACTTTTTAGAAAGCACTTGTATCAAAGTACTTTCATTCATTCACTTTGGATTGGATATTTTGAAAATTTGAAAAAAAAAATGAACGACAAAAGAATCACAATTACTTATTGAAGAAAAAAACCACCAAACACCTAATATAAAATATTTAAAATAAGTACTTGAAAAAGTTAAATACCAAATACAAATAAACACTTATTTTTAACATAAACACTCCCAAATATGACCTTTATCATTATTGTT